GACAAAGTGGTCACGGACGGAAAATCCCATTCACGGAATTCATACATGCATTAGAGGAAATCCTTTGGTTTCCAAGCATGCAGGCAGGTATAGTGGCACACTCTAAAGGCCGATTCATACTTCATTTCGGGTACGGGAAAGTCATTGTAAGATCGTCGCGCAATGACTTTCCCGTACGCGAAATAGTGGAGCTCAATTGCTGGCGTACCCCAAGGTTCCCATCTCGGCCCGCTTCTTTTTTTTAACCTGTGCATCAACTCCTTTCCTGATGCCCCTGCTTCTAGTACCCTATCCCTTTTTGCTGATGACTCTAATTTAATTCTTGTCTCTCCAGCAAACACCTCACTTCCTATCCATCATGCATTGCTCCAGACTGACATTGATAAGTGTTGTCAATGGTCATCAGCTACTGCCATGACGTTTAACACCAGTAAATGCGTCCACCTACCCTTTCAAAAATTTGCATTAGCCCTCGGCCCGTCATCCCCCTTGACAATGAACGGTGTGCCTATTCAGAAAGGTGATAGCCACTGTCATCTCGGCGTGACTATCACTCCTTCACTAAATTTTTCTGACCATATAAAATCTATCACCCATAAGTTTCGCAGTCGTGTTTTTCTGTTGCGCCATATGGCCCATTTCCTTTCTGCTTCAACCGTGAATTTGCTCTACAAGTGTTACGTACGACCACTGTTAGAATACCCAGTCCCTGTCTGGTCATTCGCCGTATCCCATTCAGATTCGCTTACGTTAGACCGACTGCAAGCCGTTGCTGCTCGTTCATATCTGCTTTGTAAGACCCGGCACCCTCCTGAGTGGGAAACCCCGAAGCAGATTCTTAATCGTACTTGTGACTGGTCATCCCTCAAGTGGCGTCGTCAGATTCTGTCCTTGCTGTATTTTCATCATGTCTTTTACCAGTTTCCGTCTTTGCTAATTCGTTTCAAATTCAATGTATCCCTTAGTTGTCGTCACCCGTCCTCTATAGTTTTACCTCGTTCTGGCGCCCATTTCCTTAAATCCCCTCTCTTCAGTTTATCTGTGGAATGGAACGAACTTCCAGAACACATCCGCTGCGTTCAGTCCTCTGTCAATTTTCGCATTGCTCTAAAGGCTCATTACTCTCAGCATAGATATTCTCTGACTGGAATTCCGAACTTTTCCGTTTGAGAATTTTTTTCCTTGAAATTAATCCTTGCTGGTTTTTTTTCATCTAAATGTCCCGCTATTATCTGCAGAGGTGATTTCTTCCCTCGTCGATTTCTTTCCTGCTTTTATACCTCGATATTTAGGTACTTGTTTCCCTTCTTCCCATGCTTCATCTTCCACTCTCCTCTCCCCATTTCCCCATTTTTCTTGCGATATTTATGTGGGAGACTTCCGTGATAAGCATCCATTTGCTTTTGGAGAATCCTTTTAAATAAATACAATACAATACAATACAATACAATACAATACAATTCAACTTTTTTGCGATGCGACACGTTTCCCGTACGCAAAATGCAATGCAAAACGCAACGATGTGCTGAAAAGGAACATCTAACCCCACATGAACGGACAGATTGCCAGCTATAAGTCTTTGTCCATAGTTGACACACAACGTCGCTTTAGTAGTCTTCAACAGCCATAGGTGGACTGTTTTCAACAGCATTCGAGCACAATGCCGCTTTTCACCCCCTCCCCTCCCCCTTTTCACCCCCTCGCCCCCCCCCCCCCCTCCCTCCACCACCAAACATATCGACACATGCCTCTGCAAACATAATGCTTGCCTCACAGGCATCCACATTTACCTGCAGTCGTGTGTAGGTGTACGGGTAGTGGTACGCCAGGTAGCAGATATCACCAGCGTTCGGAAACGTAACGGAAAACGACAGCGTGTAGAAGGTTTTGGCCGTGGACAGGAGCCGGTCATTACGCTGCGCCGCCGGCTCGGAGCATCGGCATACGTGGTTGCTATGATACGCGATGTCTGTGCCAACTCTCTTCCACTGAAGAAAGGCGTCTTCATCGCTGGCTTGCTCAGGAGCATCTTCTAATGCAGCAACACATGCAGAGAAGAAGCATAGGATGCATAATACATTTTTAACCCTTTGGAATCCGTAACTTTTTTGCTTCCGCAGAATTTGTGGCGGTCACGAAAATGCGCACTCCATTTCTAACATAACTTTGGTTCTACTTCACCGATTTTGAAGATCTTGTGCTCGTTGGAAAGCTCTTGATGAGAGAAATACAATGAGCCCAAACTCGCCTAGAGCATTTTTTATTGTCCGCCACAACGCGCCCCAAACGCGAGTCCAGCTCCAGATCTGAGACGAAATCGGTCTCTTGTAGCCATTGGCACTGAATCTAGCTCGGAACTGTTCAAAATTTTTCGAGTAGAAGCTTTAGTCTGTGGGCCAAGTGACAAAAATGTGAATTCTCGTTCCGAGTAAGAGGGCACCGCAATTTTTTTGGCCCAGTCGATAGATGGACTGGCATACATTGAAAACCCGTTTGTTGTCATTCCTGAATTTGTCCAAGGGTTGCACGGCGAGTGAAATACAAATCAGCACCGGTTGCCATGGTAACCAGAACCTAAAATTGGATTTTCTGGCTAATTACAATGTTTTTGGTATTGTTATTTTTTCCATAGGGTCATATATCCAGAGTGCCTCCTTCCCAGATTCAACTGGAAAGAGAAAAATAGGATATAACATGAAAAATAAAGAAAAACAAAATGCCCAATACGTCCATATTGTTCATGTACACAGACGTGTGCAAGAAGACCGCGTGTGTCGAACACAATACTGTAACTACTTCGAAACATCATTCGAGTCATTGTATACCATTTTATCAGATCATAATAGGACTGGCTGTGGCATGCACGTACTGTACATTGCAGAATACTATGTCTGATCTAAGAATATCTCAGACCGTTCAATACAAAAATGGTGTACATTATACAGATATGAGGCAGAACACACAGCCGCATTTATGCATTGCATAGTTATTATATGGGTTGCAGAATAATCTGAATGTCCAGAGAAAGGATCACAACACTGTGACCATCTGCTAGGCCTTGACGGATTATGCTAGCATAATTTTTCGCATAATTTCTACCAAAATCGAATAATCGCATAATTCGAGGCAAATTGCATATGAATCGCATAAATTGGAATAATCCGCCTGTTCGCATCAAATTCCATACAGTTGTACATGTTCTACAAGTACAAGTACAAGTAGATGCACCAGGAAGTCGTAGGTTTACGACTCCCTTGATAACATGTCCAGTCCACTACAATCAGTGACGGTCGTAGCTAGGTCGGACGGTGCGTTGTCCCCGTTGAACTTCTGCTACTACAGTGCAACGCCCTCTACAAAACAATTCCCCTGGTATTTTGCACAGAACCATCATATACATCAGCAGCATATGTGAGCATAATGCGGCATAATATGATAACTTTTAGCATAAAAATAGCATAATTCTGCAATTTTTTCAGCAATGCGAAAAGCATAATTTCACGAAAATATTAGCATAATCCGTCAAGGCCTACCATCTGCACAGGTCACTGACAGACCAGACCTGAAGGACCGCGTGACCCCGGAAGACTACGTTTGTTGCAGCTGTGTACGAGGGAGACTTCGTCATCATAACACTGACTTATACTGCAGGATTAGCCATACGGAATATGTTTCATGTTGCCGAAAAAGGTCGACCTGTAGAGAATAATCAGGTCACAGAAAATACACAATTCCAATTCCAATGATCACCCAACGTGTGGACAGAACTAGTTCGTCCTTTGTGGACTCATCAGCGCAGCACAGAGGAAATGAGGCCGAAGCCGATGGCAATGAAAATAATCGCAATGATCATTCCCGTGCATTTCTATATCTCCCACATTGATTTTAGTCCACATGTGATATTGATACTGAACACTGGGCAAACATCAGAAGGACTTGAATTGGGCATGATGTACAGTCACGTACATGTTCATGATTGTACAATGTGCATCGCTGAACTCTAATGAACACTCAATCTTCAATCACATTATACATACCTGTCAGGATGGGCATTCTTTTTCTTATTCATCCTCGTCTTCACTGAGTTCTGCAGTTACTTGAAGCTCCAGTGGTTGCCCATTCTCACACTCCTGGCCCGAGCGAGAGCACTTGCAAGCATCCGTGCAATCGAGGTGCTGTCTCCGGCAGGGGCAATGTCCGTGCTTGCAGCCTGTCGTGCAACCGCATGAAACAAATTCCATCAGGCTCGATGGTGCTGGTGCCAAGCTGAGCCAGTCCACTTCCAAACCACCGCCAGAATCAATGGTCTACCCTTGACCAGGGCTATGCGGTGGTGGGACATCCGCGGAAGCTTCCAGAGCACGGTGCCAGATACTGGCCTGGTAATTTGCTCTTGCAGCATGCTTGCGCAGCGCATCTTGGCAAGGAGGAAGGGAGCTGAATTGCGTCGAGCGAGAGCAGAACATCTGGTATCGCACTTCGTTGATAGATGTGGCGGTGTTGAAGCCGTATATACCGCAAGTGAACTGCTCGATGCAGGCGAAATGTCAGCTGGTAGTGCGTCAAATGATGCACCGAGTGCTGCCATAGCCTTTCGAGCCAGCTCGCCTTTTGGGGTTTGCTTGGTGATCAGCTGAAATGCTAGCTTCTTCCCTCTGCCACTGAAGGCACTGGTTGTGTCACAACCTGTATAGGCATGCATCCCCATAATGGCTTCGCAAACAGGGGCACTAAGCTCTCGTGTAATTCCTGTAGCATTGTTTATGGTAGTTAACCTCGCGCGCAAATATTCCAGAGACGGATTGACCAATTGCAACTTGGACCTTTTCGTCTTTTCTGATGTTTGCTGCGTATAACATGTACATAACAGCTTCGCTGCAGCGTGTGCGTATTCACACCTGCTTGTGGACTGGACTACAATTCTTCCGGCCAGGTTGCTGGCGCCTCTCCTTCCCACAAAATATGCAGCCCTTCATGCCTGGAGCTACGACGGGCGCGGC